AGTTTACAAATGAAAATAATTTGTATTTGAATATATTTTAAATTGTAACTTATTATGTGGTGCAAAGCTGAATTTTCAGCATCATTACTCCAGTCTTCAGTGTCACATGATTCTTCAGAAATCATTCTGATATGCTGACTTTGCTGCTCAATAAGAAATATTTCTTATTATCTTTGAAAATAGATGGTGATATTTTATTATTGATTCAACAGAAAGTGATTATTTTTTTTTACTTTAATGTATAGTTTATTTTCAAAATTTGTGAAATGAAAGTATTAATTTGTGAAATTTCTATAAATTGTACTGATGAATCATAACAGGTAAACAATTTCATTTGTAACCAATAATAAATGTCAGTAATGCTTCATCGTCACCAATAGATGTCAGTATGAAGTCCAAGACTGGGCGAAAATTAAACAAATTTAGTTTAGAAGTAATTAATATTTAGTTTGTGATAATATTTAGTGCTTGGCCAGTCAAAAAAAAAAACTCTTATTCTAAAACAAAAGAAATTAAAATGTCGTAATTATGAACATTATAATATATTTGTTATATGTGACTGGGGTTTTGTTTTGTTTCCTAGGTCTGGCCAGGACTCACAGCTTTTCCAGATTTCTCCAATCCAGACACACATGAATGGTGGTACCAGAATCTGAAGCGTTTCCATGAAAAAGTGCCGTTTGATGGCGTGTGGATTGTACGTTGTGCATTTGTATTATTGGCTATTTGATGGTTCATTATTTGCATTTACCCAAACATTGATCATGTTCAGTTATTTATATCTCTCCTTCAAGGACATGAATGAGCCATCTAATTTCTTTGATGGATCACTGAATGGTTGCCCAGACAATGAACTGGAAAATCCTCCCTACACACCAGGTATTGGTGTATTATGTGCAGATCTACTTTATGCATGCTGCCATTTTTTTCCAACAATAAGGAATGTATTGTCTGCTGTAGGTATTCTGGGTGGTACATTAAAGGCCAAGACTGTGTGTGCATCTGCAAGACAGAAAATCTCCACTCATTACAACATACACAGTCTGTATGGACTCATGGAAGCTAAGTCTACTGAAAGGTATGCACGATCATACAAAAAATACATAAATATATATAAATACACTACTGTTAAAAAGTTTGGGTCATGGCAGTATTTCTTTTTTAATACTTTGAAATTAATACTTTTATTCTGCATGGATGCATTAAATTGATCAAAGAATCATCAAATAAATTCATCCGTTTCTAAAAAAAATAATAAGCAGCACAACTGTTTTCAACATTGATAATATTTATGAACAAAATCATCAGGACTTGCCTAAAATAAAATCTATATATAAAACAGTTCAAGTATATCACAATGTTAGTTTAAATGTTTAACCTATATAAATGTGCGCTGTTAGACTCATATCCAATCGTTTGCGGAGAGTGGAAGCTGAAGCGCAGGACATGGAGGCGCCAGTGCGATCACTTGCATTTTTTTCTAACAGTGGAAACAACTTAAAATACGCAGTCATTTTTGCTCATAAAGGTAAGAGTAATACGTCATTCTAAACCATAAAGGGTGTAGTTTTATTTGTGTGCACTCACAATATCAACAAAATGCTTTTATAAAATAAAGAAAACAAACGCTTTCTGCCGTCTCGGTCTTGAACAGGAGCGCTTCACAATGATGAACCGAAACTCAGACATGATCAAAATATATAGAAAGCTTTAAATTACTACTTTAAAACGAAATAATTTAAATCGAAAATAGACTCCTAATAAAATAAACTTTTTCATTATGTAATTCATGCATTTCTCTCTAAAGGCACATCCAATTAGGAGATGGCGAGTCATTTTTTCATCACTATAATTGATGGAAGGCCTGATTATAATTTGCATTTTATTTTATAATTTCCTACAATTAAAAAATAAAACACTAATTATAATGGCATATATGTAAAACTTTGTCCAATAATTGTATAGCTGCTTTTTCTGATTTTTATGTTGCTCCGTTCTGAATACCTTAAAATTGCTGCAACGCAATTTTGTATGATATGTTAATTATTTATGTTTTATCAATGCTGCAAATGCTTTCAAAAACAGCTTTAAAATTACTTTATTGCATTCCCGACGCTTTTAAAGTACTTTTCACTATACATTTTATGGGTAGCTTGAATGTAAACATTGTCATGAATTCGTTGTATTCCCATTTGTAAAATAGCCAACAAATTCATTGTTGTAGGCTAACCCGATCTCATGAAAGTGCGTATAGCACGATTTTCTGCTTCTATTTGGCGTAATATTTATATGCAGAAATTGACTTTGGCATGCAAAAGACTGATAAATTCATAATTAACAGCATGGGTTCAGTCGACAGAAATACGGGACACACAGGCCTATAATAACTGCTGGACGGTTGTCGTGGTAATAAACACCGTAAACCGCAAACGTTCGCGTGTCCGCGCTTAATGCGCATATACTATATGACAAGCTTTTAGGGGGCCCTTGGCTTTTGGGGGCCCAAGGCGGTCGCCTACCTTTGCCTAATGGGTAAGTCCGCCCCTGTTTAGGAGCATATACATTGATTAAAACAAATGTTATTCCTTCAAACCCTACTTTAGTTAAAAGTGCTCTTCCTTTTACAATTTCCTCCACTGATAAAATATTTACATTAATTTTTTTGGAAAAAAGAATAGCTACCCCAGCACTTGTATTTATTCCATGGCTAAGAGCATACTTCCCTTCCCACCACATACCCCCGGAGTCTCATTATCATTACTTGTATGTGTTTCTTGAGAAAAAACAACAAAAAAACTAGGCCTATATCGATTAATCTATTCTCTATTCTCTATATTCATCTATTGTTTCATCTATGTTCTGTGACTCAAACTCAGAACCTTTGCCTAATGGGTAAGTCCGCCCCTGTTTATGGTTCATGTCTGTCTGTCTTTCAGTGCTTTGAGGAAGATCACAAATAAGCGCCCCTTTGTCATTTCCCGCTCTACGTTTCCCAGTCAGGGCAAGTATTCAGGCCACTGGCTCGGAGACAACAGGAGCCAATGGAAAGACCTGGCCACATCCATACCAGGTATAAACACACACACTGTGCTCTGCTGAGGCCAGAGTTAGTCCCATAGAGTTTTGCATTTACTACAGCTACTCTAACCATTTTCTTCCTTTTTCCCAGGTATGCTAACATTTAACATCCTGGGCATTCCTCTTATTGGGGCTGACATCTGTGGCTTTGGGGGCAGCACTACAGAAGAACTGTGTGTCCGATGGACCCAGCTTGGAGCTTTCTACCCCTTTTCAAGAAACCACAACTCCATAGATGAACAGGTGAACTTTCTTCCATCTGTCTAAACAGTTATGACAGTTTACTTTAGCTTTACACTACAGCAAAATCTGCAACTACAGCTGGTCAGTGAAATTATGTAGCACATAATGCTAAAATATCAACAGCCTCTGCTGTATTTTTTAAAGAGTTTGTATCTTATTGTTCTTCTGCAGTCTGTTTTTGTTTATTTGATTAGTATCCCATCTGTCACTTGTTTTGGGAGTACAATGTTGTTTTTATAATGTTTTTTTTTTAAGTGTCCAAAGACACGTCTCTGGATTTACAGTTTTGTCATTTCACAACAGGATCAGGAACCAACAGCATTCAGCCCAGCAGCTCGTACAGCAATGAAAGAAGCCATTCTCCTGCGTTATTCCCTGTTCCCACATCTCTACACACTCTTCTATCACGCACATATCAGTGGACACACAGTCGCCACACCACTGCTCTTTCAGTAAGATAAACACAAAACCTGATTGTATGTGAATTCATTCTTAAAGGAATCTTTTATTCCCAACTTTGAATTAATTATATTATCATCTAATGATTTTTTGTGAATTATCCTACTGTGTATATATATCCAGGCACATACTATCCATAATTTCAGGGAGATACATTTGAACATAATTACTGTTTGTGCTGTGCTTTTTAGGTTCCCGAACGATGAGAAGACGTACGGGATAGATAAACAGTTCCTGTGGGGAAAGAATTTGCTGGTCACACCCGTTTTGGAGGCAGGGCGAGATTATGTTGTGGGATATTTCCCTAAAGGTCTCTGGTACGATTTCCACACTGTAAGTCAAACCTCTCTAGAAACCCTCTTAGAAATTCCTAATTCTCTTTCTGTGGAGTCTCATACAATATTCATCACATCTCTACACACTCTTCTATCACGCACATATCAGTGGACACACAGTCGCCACACCACTGCTCTTTCAGTAAGATAAACACAAAACCTGATTGTATGTGAATTCATTCTTAAAGGAATCTTTTATTCCCAACTTTGAATTAATTATATTATCATCTAATGATTTTTTGTGAATTATCCTACTGTGTATATATATCCAGGCACATACTATCCATAATTTCAGGGGAGATACATTTGAACATAATTACTGTTTGTGCTGTGCTTTTTAGGTTCCCGAACGATGAGAAGACGTACGGGATAGATAAACAATTCCTGTGGGGAAAGAATTTGCTGGTCACACCCGTTTTGGAGGCAGGGCGAGATTATGTTGTGGGATATTTCCCTAAAGGTCTCTGGTACGATTTCCACACTGTAAGTCAAACCTCTCTAGAAACCCTCTTAGAAATTCATAATTCTCTTTCTGTGGAGTCTCATACAATATTCATCCTGTATGTTTGTGTCACATACAGGGTGACTCGTTGATAAGCAGTGGAGAAGAGATCAATCTTCAGGCTCCAAAAGACAAAATCAACCTGCATCTCGGAGAGGGTTCAGTCGTACCTACACAGGTGACAGAGAAGCACATTATATACTCATACATTATGTAACGGGCAATTTATTTATTATAATAAATGTATTTTTGTGGTTAAAAATTACATAAATGCATAAATTCTCAAAGTAATGATATATAGATAATTTCTATAATTTAATGCGTGTGTTTAAGAATATGTATATGTGTATATATATGTGTGTGTGTGTGTATTCGTAGCCACAGTTATATATATTAACATGTTCTTCAGAAAGTCTCAATTTAGTGATCAATTAAATGATAGATAGATCATATCTATCTGTGTCCATGTTAATTTGAATTTGTTTGTGTTTCAGAGACCTAATACCACCCTGTGGGTGAGCAGCGGTCAGCCCCTTCATCTGATTGTGAGTCTGAGTGAGGACGGCCTGGCCAAGGGTGATTTGTTTTGGGATGATGGAGAGACCCTTGACACATATGAGAAAGATCAATACGCTTACATCTATTTCACAGTAGAACAGGTACAGAAAATGCACAATTCACCTTTACTACAGTAAACCAGCATGCTTTTAACCACAAACTTGTTAACACTTGAGACTTGCCACTGAGAAACGTCGTGCTTGCGAATCAGTCTCTTGTCGATCAGCCACTTCAACCTTTTCATCATCAGACTCCGGCTCGAATTGGTAAGGTACAATCGATACCATCTTTTCTATGTATTGACAAGTCTCCAGGGCTGTCTTTACTTCATGGCAATGGGCGTTTCATTTCCGACACGCACTGTATGCGGTAGACCAATCCAGAGCCAATCTCTCTACGGCTCTGGACCAATCACAAAGGACTGCACCATCTGACCAATCACAGCAATTTAGAGAGACTGATTCTTTGAACTGCTTCGCACGAGTCGTTTACGAATCATTTAGAAATGAGGTAAAATGAAATCTATTTTTTGAGAAAACTAGTGTGTTTTTTGACCTGGCATGCATGTAAACCTGTTTTAGGAGACTCATAAAACAATATTAGCAACCTTAAAAATGGCATAATAGGGGCACTTTAAACAAATAGCTATAAAAACAGTAATGTGAGTGAAAAAGACTTAAATTTATGTAAAATAAGACTTAAAGAAATGTATTTATTGTCTTATGTCTGTCTAGGTGCTGACAGTAACAGACTTGGGTCTGAACCTCAGTCATAACTTCACAATCAGTTGGATGTAAATATGAAAGTCATCATTGATGTTTCAAAATTGCAAGTTGCTCCAGAAATCATGACCGTATTATCTCAAATGAATTTATCTCAGTACATGGACAGTGGTGGTTCTGGTTTCAATCTGAAATCAAATATAAACCAGAAAGGATATGACAGATTATTGATTGTATGTTGTTGAATGTCTGTATTATTGACCCAGCGGCGGTCAGTTGCACTCAGAGGGAGCAAAACCGAAGGGGAGAATTGTGTATTTTGATTAAATGTATTTGTTTGATCTGTTGAATAGATACATATTTTTACCTCTGCTGTTATATTACTGCCTGTTATTGCTGATATTGTTTCTAGGGCAGACACATTCTTCTTCTGTCATTGTTTCAAGCATTTTAGTGGTGAATAAAGCTTCTCATCTTAAAGTAGGTTTACACCTTGCCATGCCATCAAAAACTAGGCAAGTTCAAGATGATTTTGAGTTAAAGCAAACAACTTTATAGTGATACAGAAAAAAAACACGAACAACTGCAAGTTCAAAAGTGATCCTGCTGAACTCGCAACCTTTCACTTTCTTACAAAGTAAGTTGATAAGTATGATTTTGATTTGCATATGTGTATATGTTGTTTACAAGCAGATACCATCTTTTCTATGTATTGACAAGTCTCCAGGGCTGTCTTTACTTCATGGCAATGGGCGTTTCATTTCCGACACGCACTGTATGCGGTAGACCAATCCAGAGCCAATCTCTCTACGGCTCTGGACCAATCACAAAGGACTGCACCATCTGACCAATCACAGCAATTTAGAGAGACTGATTCTTTGAACTGCTTCGCACGAGTCGTTTACGAATCATTTAGAAATGAGGTAAAATGAAATCTATTTTTTGAGAAAACTAGTGTGTTTTTTGACCTGGCATGCATGTAAACCTGTTTTAGGAGACTCATAAAACAATATTAGCAACCTTAAAAATGGCATAATAGGGGCACTTTAAACAAATAGCTATAAAAACAGTAATGTGAGTGAAAAAGACTTAAATTTATGCAAAATAAGACTTAAAGAAATGTATTTATTGTCTTATGTCTGTCTAGGTGCTGACAGTAACAGACTTGGGTCTGAACCTCAGTCATAACTTCACAATAAGTTGGATGTAAATATGAAAGTCATCATTGATGTTTCAAAATTGCAAGTTGCTCCAGAAATCATGACCGTATTATCTCAAATGAATTTATCTCAGTACATGGACAGTGGTGGTTCTGGTTTCAATCTGAAATCAAATATAACCCAGAAAGGATATGACAGATTATTGATTGTATGTTGTTGAATGTCTGTATTATTGACCCAGCGGCGGTCAGTTGCACTCAGAGGGAGCAAAACCGAAGGGGAGAATTGTGTATTTTGATTAAATGTATTTGTTTGATCTGTTGAATAGATACATATTTTTACCTCTGCTGTTATATTACTGCCTGTTATTGCTGATATTGTTTCTAGGGCAGACACATTCTTCTTCTGTCATTGTTTCAAGCATTTTAGTGGTGAATAAAGCTTCTCATCTTAAAGTAGGTTTACACCTTGCCATGCCATCAAAAACTAGGCAAGTTCAAGATGATTTTGAGTTAAAGCAAACAACTTTATAGTGATACAGAAAAAAAACACGAACAACTGCAAGTTCAAAAGTGATCCTGCTGAACTCGCAACCTTTCACTTTCTTACAAAGTAAGTTGATAAGTATGATTTTGATTTGCATATGTGTATATGTTGTTTACAAGCATGTTTGCACAGTTCAGGACATTCTGATGCTACAGAAATGCATGTTTGAGCTTTAGTTAGCAACCATTATTTCCATGCACGGGCAGGCATGTTATTAAAATGATCCAGTATGTTCAGCCAATCCAAATGTGATAGAAACTGTTTTTGTTCTTATGATTCATTTGTTTTAATGCCCAAAGCAAGTCGTTCTAAAATGTACAACCATGAATATATTACTGAAGTAAATCACTGTACAGTATTCATCAAGGCATAATTGTGCAGTATTTTGTAAATTGCTACCACATGCTGTCGATATTACCATTTATAACATAACATTGTGCCTTATATTTCATCAAAGCTGGGATTCAACATTCAGTGGCTATACTGTGAATGTATAAAACCCTCTGTTCAAAACACTGGGCTGCTTTACAACTTTTATCAAATGTAACAGAAAAATGTAAAATGTATAGACCTGTGCTCCTCAAACTGAAGCTAAACATACAAGCCTGTTTAAGGCTTCTTTCCTTCAAATGACCCTGAACTGCTGTACAGCCTTTAACAAGACTTACAGGGTAGTGTGCAATAAAAATTCAAAGCGTTTATCTTTTTTTCTTGTGTTTTTTCTTTTGACTTGATATGCACACTAGCAATCACCATAGAAACCACCCAGAATTACCCTAGCAACTGAACTGAACAACTCTGAATACCTTAGCATATGTTTGAGTAAAATGTAATTTGTGTTTCTTTCTATTGTGTAACTCCATTGGCCCTCTTAGTGTCCAGTAAAATATGAAATTTCAAACCACAGCATTTGCTCGGAGGAAAGAAAAATGATCTTTATACCTCGAACCTAAAAAATCTGATTATTTTATGTCTCAAAATCAGAGCTATAGTTCTGATGTGGCCAGGTTATTGCTACATAAAACTGGATTTAGAGGCACTTCACTTTCTTAAAGAAAATGGCTTTTTTTTTCAGCTCAGTGCAGTGACCGGTATCTTTTTAAACTAAACCCATTTTCTACTATTATAAAGTTATATGCTGTTATAAAATACATTAATAAAGTCAGACTTTAAAGTTTTTGTTTTTAATTATAGACAGATTTCAGTGTTAAAGGGATAGTTCACCCAAACATGAAAATTCAGTCATTAATTACTCACCCTCATGTCGTTCCAAAACCGTAAGACCTCCGTTCATCTTCGGAACACAAATTAAGATATTTTTTATGGACTCTGACAACTCTCCCAAAGACAGCAAGGGTACTACCACGATCAACGTCAGAAATGTAGCAAGGAGATCGGTAAAATAATCCATGTGACATCAGGGGTTCAACCGTAATATTATGAAGCTACAAGAATACTTTTTTGTATGCATAAACAATCTGCGTGGCGCAGCTGACACAGAACAACATACGCCGTTTGCGTTCAGTGGATACTCTCCAAAATGGCGCTAGGATGACGCGGAGGAGACGAATTGTTGAATAAAGTGACACAAAAATTTGTGCACAAAAAGTATTCTCGTAGCTTCGTAATATTACGGTTGAACCCCTGATGTCACATGGATGATTTTACCGATCTCCTTGCTACGTTTCTAGACGTTGATCGTGGTAGTACCCTTGCTGTCTATGGGAGGGTCGGAGAGCTGTCAGAATGCATCAAAAATATCTTAATTTGTGTTCCGAAGATGAACGGAGGTCTTACGGGTTTGGAACGACATGAGGGTGAATAATTGATGACAGAATTAAAATGTTTGGGTGAACTAACCCTTTAAGCCTTTTAAAGAGCACAAAAAATCAGAACATGAAAGCAATTACCAACAAGATTTTGTTTCGACTTTGAGCATGCCTGACACTGTCATTTTAAGCTAAATGTGTTTCTGTCTTGAAGAAAATTTATTAAACCTTTTCTTGTTGTTTTAAGAAGCATTGTTGTAAACCCAACGCTGATAGTCACGCGGCTTCCTCTGGGAGTGGATCTGCACGTCTGAACCTTCAGCTTTCATCTCACACTGACACAAGACCTGTTTGAAGATCAAAGCCAGACTTGTGCTTCCACATCCAGGATGATATGACAGCGAGTTTAAAGCCTTGCTTCTGTACGGGCCGATGCAAGCAGAAAGAAATAAAGACAAAAAGAATCAAGAAAAGAGAGGGACAAAGATGGAATTAAGTATGGGGCAGGGCTTTGATTTTCTTGACTGGTTAACTAAGCAATTACAAATTAGTTAACTTTAAGAACATCCTGCTTATAGAAAAGTGCTTTTTAAAACATTTTTGAATTTGAGCTGCCTCTGCCAAGAGATTTTGTTTATTAACAAAACAGCCATCATAATTATCTTTAAAACGTGGCAAAATACAGCAAACCTAGACATGTTATAATTACTACTGCAGTTAATGAATATGAAACATGTCAAAGCTAGCTCCTGTCATCATCTACTCGATTCCTCTTGTAATAGTGAGAAAACATCTGAATCACTAGAGCACTATTACCGTCAAATAAAGACCCTTCAGCTAGAGCCTTTATGTCCCACAGTATTGACATTCAGATACAAAATCTGACAAAATATTAAGATTTTGTCTATTTATAGTTTTATTAGTTCACAGTGGGAAAATACACTACTGTTCAGAAGTTTGAAGTCGGTAGGATTTTGTAAAGTCTCTTATGATCAAGGCTGAATTCATTTGATCCCAAATACAGCAGAAACTGTAATATTGTGAAATATTACAATGTAAACTAAATGTTTTCTATGTTAATGTATTTAAAAATGTAATTTATTTCTGTGATTGCAAAGCAAAACAGTAAGTGGTACTTATTATTGTGGTAATTGTGATACTTTTTTTCTTTTCAGGATTCTTTGATGAATTGCTCAAAAAATAACATTTACTGTCACTTTGCATCAACATAATGCATCCTTGCTGAATTAAAGTATTCATTTCTTTAAAAAGTAAATCATGTGATAGGGAAAGTCATAATTGTTTTACTGTGAAAATATAAGAGCTAGAGAGTAAAGTTTTAGCTGAAATGGACAACATTTTTAAAATGTTGCCTCTTATGCTTGTTTTTAAAGTCTGTGTTTAATGACTCCAAAAACCTAATTTCAACAAAATCAGCTCTGACTTCATAAAGTATTTATAAAGTAAGCTATTGAACCAAGCCAACCAAATAACCAAACTTAATGAAAAACAAACACTGTGTACAGTGTGTAATAGACAAAAGTGTCCTCAAATTCTGGAATGTTGCATAATTTACTTCACAGCAGATACAATTTATACAGTGTAGCGCCAGCTTAATTCGGTAATTAGAAATTATTCCCATTATTTTTTAAATCTCACAATGAAATAGTGTTTATTTTGGCTGTATTGAAAATATTGGCCTAGAAGAAAACAATATCACACACTCCCCCTCATTCTCTCTGCACACTGAAGGCTTCAGAGATAACAGCTTCCAGATGTTCCACATTCTCACTCCGTCATTGCCTTGCTTTAATTCTAGCTGCCAAAGATGTGACATTATACCATGAATTGCTGTCTTTACGTCCGTTGCTGTCTGTCACCATGCTTAGGTAACTCAGAGGGTTTTGGGAAGGCAGAAACATTTTCACACACAAATTCAGTGCAAGAGTTTGTGGGAAATGGTCGGGTCACACCACATGCTCTTTTAATGAGTTTTAAACATCTTTTGGCATGCTATCTCAGCATTTCCGAACTCAATTGATTTCTTGTTTCCTCTTTAAGTCCCAATTAAGATAAAATTATCTATGGGCTGCTGCAAGCAATTAATCAGGACTGTTTATACAGCAGACCACATTTTCATACATTTTAGAACAGAATGTGGCCATAGATTTCTTTACTTATCCATCAAACACTGTACAATGGTTTTACTATGATTTTTGGTGTTCTGTGGTAGCCTACTGTTCACCAAGTAGCTTTTAATAACATGCCGCATGAATATGGTAACATTCAAATACCAAAAGGGCTTTTCACACTTGAATTAGTTAACCCTGGTTCATTCTAAACCCCAGGTAAATGGAATACTGGGTTATCTTGCTTCACGTTTACACTGCTCATACTAGGTGTTCATAAACGGACGTTTCACACTAGCTACACTCCTAAACTACAGTTCTTTTTTTGCATACTTGCATTTTGACTACCAGCCCTGTTGAAAAAACCAGCATTACTGGTTAGGTATGTTTTGACGCTGGGATGCTGGTTTAAGCTGGTCCTTTTGCTGGTTTATGCTGGTCCTTTGCCAGCACATGACCAGCATAAACCAGCAAAAGGACCAGGATAAACCAGCAAAGGACCAGCATAAACCAGCAAAGGACCAGCTTAAACCAGCATCCCAGCGTCAAAACATACCTAACCAGCATATGCTGGGTTTTTCAACAGGGAGTTCATGTGTTTTCCATCACCATTTGACATTTTCCCCTCAAACGCGCGGTGTGTGTTTCTGTTACTGTCCAATGCACCTGAATATGAGGCACATGGCGCAATGTGAAGCCCTAATTTATATCAAAGCACCTTGGTATTGCCTTCATTTAAATGTCCATGTTCTTTGTCACCTAACTATGGTCTATTACTGACATCTATTGGTCATATAAAGAATGACAACTATAGTTCTTTAGTTTGTATGACCAAGTCCTCTCCAAATGTTTGTTTGAAACATTGTGTATTCATATAGATATTCTATATTCTGCATTTTTTATTTTTAAAGTTTATTGATCATTTATTTACTGCAACCAAAGACTACTAAACATAGCCACATGTTGATAATTAAATATGAACAAATTTGTGCGGGGGAAAAAACAGGTTTTAAGCTATAATTTATACCTAAAAATGTATGTTTATATATTAAAATAGGTCAATCATGTCTAAAGCACATGCCTCGATTTGTTGTTTCCTTCAGTGACTCAGCGAGATTAGACAAGTCCAACTACACCTAGAGCAACACAGACACACCCTAAGATCATATAAAGAACACCACCTGCATGAACACTGACTGCAAATGCTACTTTACCGCTGGCTGCAAAACAGGGCTGTAACAGGATTATATGAAAATATAAAGTATGCACACTACCATTTCGATTTTAGTCTTGCATTGTGCATTGTTTCAAACACAACACAGAGTATTTGGACACTGAAAGTGCCAAAAAAGCCCATTTTTATATTTAAGGAAAATTTGTTATGCTGGTTGAAAGTCTTTTGACATCCCGATAGCAATCACTAAGTAGTCTAAATGTATTTATATCATCTGTGGAAGGTGTAGGACCATAAAATGTTAATCCAATCATATCCCTCGGTCCGCAGATTACGATAGATTGTCCTACCTGCCTGTCAACGTATGTATTTGCTAACCCTGTTTGCACACACATGATACGTCATCAGCGCATTCCATCACGCTGTTGCAGACACAGCGAGAATGGAAGGCGTTGTTATTGTAATATTATGAGCGTTGTACTGTAATGTTTTCTCACTGGTGAATGAGACGTGAGGTAATTTGACAGCACTGCATTCAACCCTCCACCAATGCCATCTTTAATTGTGTCACTGGTTGGCCTCTGGTATGCCTGTGTGCATTCATGTGTTTTAGAGGAGGTGTGGCTTTGGAGAGTGATTTGCAGGGAGGGTGGGATCTTATGCTTTCAAAGTTACCTTGCTATTGCTAGCCTCTCAGAAATGCCCTGCCCTACTTTTAAAGGTATAGTTCACCAAACGATTGAAAGTCATTTACTGAAGTTGTACCAAACCTGTATGAATTTCATTCTGCTGCTGAACACAAAAGGAATATTTTAAAGAATTTGGGTAAACAAACAGTTGCTGGTCCCCACTGACTTCCATAGTAATTTTTTTCCATACTGTGGAAATCAATGGAGACCATTAAGGTTATAAATGTATACATAATATATATATATATATATATTAGTTTTGTTTTCACAATGAAACACACGGCGGCTTGAGTGAGCGGAGGCTGGCGGATTCGATGAAGGAGTGGCCGTCGGGCTTGCGGCAACCACATGTGACGACCCTGGGCTGGACTCCGCTTCATCCACGGTGAAAGCCGATTTGGCGATCCACAGCGCGAAGTTGATGTATTTCCTCAGCGACCAGCACGGATCAGCTCCAGACATGACGAAGTGGATATCGTCCTCTTTTGGAAGGCCAAACAAAGTAGTTTCACTTTCACAACGAAGCACAAGGTCTTCACAACATGGCGGCAGCAACAATTCAGCAAGAATAAAAGTTACGCCTTCTTTCTTTGCGTGAACATTTGGGCGGTGTTATGCAAATCTTCCCACATCGTGACGTAGATATGTGGGGGCGTGTTAGAACGAGGCGTTTTAGGTAGGTGTGGCTGACTCTTAACTTTTATAAAGAATATCTCTTTGGATTTGAGACTTTAGTCTTTGCAACTTTACAGATCTTCTTTATGCACCAAGAGCTTGTAACACTCCAAAGAGAAAGGAAAAATTTAAATCGCATCATATGACCCCTTTAAGGGAAGTCCTTTATAAAACTTTTACCTAAAACTCCACCCATGAAGACGTCATAAGTTCTCAGGAGTTTTGGGGGTTTCTCCAGTGGGACAGCTGACGGTGAGATCACTTGAGTGGGTAAGTGAAAATCCAAAACGTTCCTAAGTTCAGCGTTCCGTTTACGTGTACGCCACATTGGAAGGGAGCAATTTCAGATTCAGTGTTCGGTTTAAAGTGCTCCTCCCGGGTTCAGTCGAATTCGCACCATGGCTGCTGTGAAGGCGCTTCAACAGTGGTGCAAAATCCAGTGTGAAGGATACCGGGACGTGTCGATCACCAACATGACCACATCTTTCCGGGACGGTCTGGGTTTCTGCGCTCTTATTCACAAACACAGATCGGACTTGATGTAAGTAACAGCCCCCATACAGCGAACGAGAGCGCGGTTTAGTGCTGCATTGTGCTCAGAAAAGGACAGCGTATGAACTTTGGACGAACATTTAAAATGCTCAACATTCAAACGTAGCGCTTGTTTACAGTTCATAGCTCGTTTCAGACATTAGAACATTTAGAACTGTGGTTCAAAGCCAAAGAATCTTTTGAACTTAGGACGAGGACATTAGATCTATCAGCTAATTCAGAACGTGTAGAATGTCGGATGGTATTACTAAAAGTTTCAATAGGCTACTTAGAAACATGATGAGAACATTCGAACTTGTAGAATTTAGAGTTAAGAAATGTACAACTTTAGAGTATATATTCTTTCTCAAGAATATATTAATTTTGAGAAATTCGAACTAGAAGTTGGAACTTTTAGAACTATAGACAAAACGATTAAAACCCATTTTAGATTTCAGGAAACAGATTTTTTATTGTTATTTTTTTTGCTTGAAATTCTACAAATTACTCTAATAACACCATTACTCTAACATTCTAGTTGTTTCAAGTGAAGTTCTGGAACCTGAGTGTTGACATGACCGGCTGCATGCTTGTGGTTGTGTTTGTATTAGTGTCAGATTTATATTGTTAATATTTGACATGGGGAAAATACCTTTTCTGTTCACTCATGTATGCTTGTCTCAAATTGTTTGCTCTCTTGCAGAGACTTTGACTCTTTGAGCAAGGAAAATATCTATGAAAACAATAAACTGGTAAGATTGTTCACTTTATAAAATAGTCGCTAACTTTTATCACTTCTCTCTATTGTTGCCATTACCATAATGTTTTACATTTCATTTATCCATTTCGTTGTGAAAACAACTATTCATTTTGAATACCTGTCTTTGGTATCTTCTGATATCCTAACTGTCACGACGATAGTTAACAATAGACTATTCCTCATTATGACAGTTCTTGGAGGTTAAAAAAGCATTATAGGTTCTACAGAGTAGTATTTTGGTTTATGGGTGGTTTAAAGCATATATACATACTTTTTTTCTAAAGATAAAGATAAGAAGTTCTTTGTTTAATGTAAAAATGCTCCCCTAGGCCTTAGCATGTACGTTTTTGGTCAGGACAGTAGAGCAAAACAACTGAATCTGCTTTAAGTTTTCTGGGAAATGCCTTCATTCCATAAAGATCACAATCCCGTCAAGTTTCCTAGACCTCTCATAGAGCTATTTGACCTATGTGTGGTTGACCAGGGTTAAGATGTGACACAGCCGCATACTCGAGGCCTATTTTTGTGGTTTCTTCTGTTTTTGCAACAGCTGGATCACATGTTGTGTTGTTGTAGGCCATAATTAATCATCATCTGCACACTGTTATGTTCCTGTTTCCACGGAAAAGGAATACTGAAAGGAATACTTGAAAGGAATACTGTCCAAAAAGGGCATTGTTGTGAAAGAGAGAATACAAAAGCATATAATGAAAAGTACTGCAAAGGAAATGCTAATGAACAGCTTTGTGAGCATGTAGGATGGCGCTCTCTTTCCGAACAGAGCTAGTGTGACCAAAGACAGTGAAAATGAAAGTGTTAACTGTTAAGATAAGGTAACGCATGGTTTACAGGGTGGAGATTCAGTATCCGGTAAAAAGAGAAAGCTGAAATGGCAATGAAATGTTTTGTTCCCGGCCCACTCATTGCAATGCTCTGTTATGTGAGAAAATATGTCAGATACACTTTGTACAAAAAATAAGTCTTAACATTCTCAGTTATTATTAGCTAACAGTAACTTTGGCATGCACGTTTTAGTTATGATCTGTAGTGATTTCCAGCTTTTACATTTAGATTTGTGGTCTTAGAATCACATTACATGCTGTGTGAGATGTTTTTTTTTAATGAATCTTTACTGAGAAATACCTCCCCCTTTATTGCTCTTGATTTTATCTAGATTGTTTTCTCGTTCTCTCTCTCCTTGTTCATGTCTGCGCTTGTTTATTTTTGAGGGAAGCTTTTTTTCTCCCAAAGAAATCCAGGCCAAGTTGACATTTTTGTGTGTGTATAATGGGCATGGAGAAATGATAGTTTTACCACTCAGTGCCTCTAGATGGAAAATCACCACAAATTACAAACTTTTGCCCAACCTTTCATCATTGCAACATTGTGAATTATACATGAGCTGAAAGCTGATCTGCTGACATATTCACACTATTATGAGTAATAGTGACCAGACAAAGAAAATAAAAACTTCCTCAGTTTTAGTATATAAGGTCAATCAATATTTTCTGTGTAAGAGCTAATACAATAAAAGCAGAAATATAGTTGTTTAATGTGTAAAAGGCTCTTAAATTATTGTCCAGTTCCTTGTCTATTCCAAGTTAATGTAAGTTAATGTATCAACAGCTTGTTTTACTCGAGTTCTTCCTCTTATGCAGCCTGCAGATATCAAACATATCTTAAAATCTGGAATGTTTTTTGCAGTTCTAGCACTTGATAATAGGGGTATATACATTTTAACTCGTTCAATATGAAATCCTCTAATCCTTCTGCCACACAGATGTTTCCCTCTTGTGTAATTCATACCCCTTGCATAATTTTTTGTTATATTTATTAATTTATTTTTACCAGGCTTTCGAGGTGGCAGAGAAGGAGTTGGGTATACCTGCCTTGCTGGATGCCGAAGACATGGTGGCTTTAAAAGTGCCTGATCGCCTCAGCATCCTGACCTATGTGTCCCAGTACTACAATTATTTCCATGGACGCTCTCCTAGTAAGACATACACATGCCCCGCCCCCCCAAAAAATATAATAGTACTGTCACTGCATAGCTGTTATCCACCCAGTTTACAAAAGTTATGATTGTGTTCAGACATACAGATATCCAGAGGCCATAAAACTTAATCTTGAGATACAAGCTATGTTCAAAAAAGTACAGTGTAAAAAAAGGATAATATAAATAGTAGCATAATGTGAAACCGTAGGAGTTTTATAACCCTGCAAACAGTAGAAATTGCAATTCCATTTAGTGCCTCTAGTGGTGCAGAAATTACACCCTTCACTTTTAAACTTAATTGGGACCCTGTCATTTTTTAGCATTGCTAAAAACATTTCACTTTATGGATGTGCAGTTGGAGGTCTGGCAGGGATTAAAAGACCAGCTGAAGAGTCTAATGAAGCGCCATCTGAGAAGAAGAACCAACCTGTCACAGCTAAAGTTTTTCCCTCCCCTAAACCAGCCACAGAGAACAAGACGCCTAAACCAGCAAACGAAAACAAGGTACACTATGTAACTCATCTGACACCTGTCAGCTCACATAGGAACTTTGGTAGTTCTGTATTTCTGGTGGAGTGTGTGTAATGCAAACTCATGGGTACATAACAAACCTTGTCTTTGGTTACATACTTCTGATATGATAACTTATGTTAAATATTGTTTTAAACAAATCTTATATTGAGGTGTTGTTTGCACAGTGCTTCATGACTAATTGATCTTTTGTTTTTTGTTTTTTATCATTTCCAGACAGAAGTTTTGGTGGAACGTGCCAATAAAACAACTCTGAGCAGCAGTTGTAATGTGTGCAACCAACATGTTCACCTTGTGCAGCGCCACCTAGTAGATGGGAAACTGTACCACAGGAACTGCTTTAAGTCAGTTCTATTTTTTTATCTATTGGCCCTTTTATTCATTTGTTTTAAACTAAAAAATAAGGTGGAAAAATATAGTAATACATATTAATATATAAGTGAAGTAAAAATAGCACTACTGGTCAAAAGTAGGGCTGTGCAAATAATCAAATGCGATTTTCATGCGCATCTCATCAGTAAAGCCGGTTCTGTGATTAGTAGTAAATCTCCAGCACGTGCTTTCAGATGGAGCGGGATTTACTACACAGAGCCGTAGTTCACTGACAAGCTACGCAATATCGTGTTTGAAATATTAATAATCGCAGGCGATTCATTGCCGATTATGAACGCGATTTTGCGTAGCTTGTCAGTGAACTACGGCTCTGTGTAGTAAATGCCACTCCATCTGAAAGCACGTGCTGGAGATTTACTACTAATCACAGAACTGGCTTTACTGACGAGATGCGCATGAAAATCGCATTCGATTATTTGCACAGCCCTATAGTCAAAAGTTGAAAATACTTTAGATTTTTCTTTTTGTTTGTTTTTAAAAGAAGTCTCTTATGCTCACCAAGGCTCCAAGCTTATTTGGAGGCTTATACAGTAAAAACAGTTATATATTTTTTTTTTATTTCATTATATTATCAAAAGTGATAATTTAAATGCTTTAAAATGTTACAACAGATTTCTATTTAAAATAAATTGTTTGAATTTTCTATTCATCAAAGAATCCTGAAAAAATGTATCACGTTTCCAGAGAAATATTTAGCAGCAAAAAGAATTCCAACATTGATACTAAGAACCATTGTTAGTAATTGAGCACCAATAATTACTGATAATATCTGAGCACCAGCATATTAGAATGATTTCTGAAGGATCAGGTGATGCTGAAGACTGGTGTAATAATGATGCTAAAAATTGAGCTTTGCATCACAGGAATAAATTACATTTTAAAATATATCAAAATAGAGAACATTTTATACTTCCCAATATTGCATATTTTGATCAAATAAATGCAGCCTTGGTGAGCATAAGATAAACGTAAAAAACATATATCTTAAAAAAAACAAACTTAATTATTCCAAACTTTTGACAGGTAGTGTATGTAAATGCATCCACCACACATGACTAGTGAATCATGTACATAATGCTCAAATTGTCATAATGATTTAATTTGAGCAGTGTAATGTGGGAAGAAACATTTTTGTAATAGCTGCCTATCAGTTAAAATTGTTTTATAAATTCCTTTAATTGTTTGCTGTATGGCAGCTATAATAAGGTTCATTGTTTTGTTTTCAGTCAGCTGATCATTTAGCATAATACCAGTGAATAATAGCAATGAAATGTCAAAAAGGGAGTGAAGATCATCCATCTCCTGATGTTTTTAGAAAGTCTTTTCATTATCAGATCTATTCAGTGTAAATAACTTAGGTCTAAGTAGATTATATTTTTTCTGTTTTGTTAACTATGAACTGTCTATTCAACAGATGCAAAGAGTGTTCCACTATTCTTCTCTCTGGCACATACAAGCCTGGAAAAGAAGCGGGAACTTTCATCTGCAAAACACACACAAGCATAGAGAAGCCTGTAACCGTCCCGACTACACACATCACAGTGACTTCACCAAAGACACCGTCCACATTTATAAGCAAGACTGACCAGAATGCATTAGGAGATACTGGAAAAGCTGGTTTAACACCCAACACATCTAAACTAAGCTGGCTGGCCAATAAAAGGGACCGTGCACCCACTCGTGAGTTAACTGTCACACCTACTCCAGCAGTTCGGCTCACACGAGCACCAAAAACAACTCCAGCACCAGAGGCTACAACTGTGAAGACCTCCTTTAGCCCCCGAACGCCCACGGAGTCTCTTAAACCAGTAAGCAACAGTGTACAGAAGAACCAAGAAACCAGAAAGAGGTGAATGTCTTTCAGTTCAGTATTCTGATATTTTATTGAAGAACATTTTATACTTCCCAATATTGCATATTTTGATCAAATAAATGCAGCCTTGGTGAGCATAAGATAAACGTAAAAAACATATATCTTAAAAAAAACAAACTTAATTATTCCAAACTTTTGACAGGTAGTGTATGTAAATGCATCCACCACACATGACTAGTGAATCATGTACATAATGCTCAAATTGTCATAATGATTTAATTTGAGCAGTGTAATGTGGGAAGAAACATTTTTGTAATAGCTGCCTATCAGTTAAAATTGTTTTATAAATTCCTTTAATTGTTTGCTGTATGGCAGCTATAATAAGGTTCATTGTTTTGTTTTCAGTCAGCTGATCATTTAGCATAATACCAGTGAATAATAGCAATGAAATGTCAAAAAGGGAGTGAAGATCATCCATCTCCTGATGTTTTTAGAAAGTCTTTTCATTATCAGATCTATTCAGTGTAAATAACTTAGGTCTAAGTAGATTATATTTTTTCTGTTTTGTTAACTATGAACTGTCTATTCAACAGATGCAAAGAGTGTTCCACTATTCTTCTCTCTGGCACATACAAGCCTGGAAAAGAAGCGGGAACTTTCATCTGCAAAACACACACAAGCATAGAGAAGCCTGTAACCGTCCCGACTACACACATCACAGTGACTTCACCAAAGACACCGTCCACATTTATAAGCAAGACTGACCAGAATGCATTAGGAGATACTGGAAAAGCTGGTTTAACACCCAACACATCTAAACTAAGCTGGGTGGCCAATAAAAGGGACCGTGCACCCACTCGTGAGTTAACTGTCACACCTACTCCAGCAGTTCGGCTCACACGAGCACCAAAAACAACTCCAGCACCAGAGGCTACAACTGTGAAGACCTCCTTTAGCCCCCGAACGCCCACGGAGTCTCTTAAACCAGTAAGCAACAGTGTACAGAAGAACCAAGAAGCCAGAAAGAGGTGAATGTCTTTCAGTTCAGTATTCTGATATTTTATTGAATCAGTGTTGTTATTGTTAAAGGGGTCCTATTATGCTCTTTTACAAAGTCTTGATTTTGTTTTGGGGATGTACTAGAACATGCTCTCATGCTTGGAACGCATTAATTTTCACATAATTTAGATTATTACAATACCTTTCTCCCCAGCCTGGCACAAACGGCTCGATTAGTTCCAGGTTTGATGAAGGCCCGCCTTCCGAAAAACTAAATGTTGTGATTGGTTAGCTGTGTAATAACTTGTGAAAACTTGAGGCTACAGCAGCACTTCTTCTTCTTCGTTGTTGTCTTGTCTGATGCACTCAACCAAGCGTGCCTCACCCCCTCCCCACCCCCAAACATTTCGAATTTCCGTAGGTGGGATTTATTTGAATGATATTCTAATGGGTCGCTTTGTGACATCACAAAAACCCAGGAAAACAATGCTGTAGTCCAAACGAGCCGTTCGTTGTAGTTCTTGAAAAGGGATTTTTTTTTTAAACGAAATATCTCCCTTTGGAGTGGACTTTGAGATATGTAACTTTGTAGATCTTTTTTTTATGCCCAAACATACACACTACACACGGACTAAAATTCAAAAAGTGAAAAAGCATAATACGACCCCTTTAAGTAAAACTATAAAAAAAAAAAGGAAATAAAATAAAAAAATGCTAGAAAAGCACATAAAAATGTTTAAAAAAAGCTAAAAAAAAAAAAAGAAGCTATTATTAGGAGATACTGGAAAAGCTGGTTTAACACCCAACACATCTAAACTAAGCTGGGTGGCCAATAAAAGGGACCGTGCACCCACTCGTGAGTTAACTGTCACACCTACTCCAGCAGTTCGGCTCACACGAGCACCAAAAACAACTCCAGCACCAGAGGCTACAACTGTGAAGACCTCCTTTAGCCCCCGAACGCCCACGGAGTCTCTTAAACCAGTAAGCAACAGTGTACAGAAGAACCAAGAAGCCAGAAAGAGGTGAATGTCTTTCAGTTCAGTATTCTGATATTTTATTGAATCAGTGTTGTTATTGTTAAAGGGGTCCTATTATGCTCTTTTACAAAGTCTTGATTTTGTTTTGGGGATGTACTAGAACATGCTCTCATGCTTGGAACGCATTAATTTTCACATAATTTAGATTATTACAATACCTTTCTCCCCAGCCTGGCACAAACGGCTCGATTAGTTCCAGGTTTGATGAAGGCCCGCCTTCCGAAAAACTAAATGTTGTGATTGGTTAGCTGTGTAATAACTTGTGAAAACTTGAGGCTACAGCAGCACTTCTTCTTCTTCGTTGTTGTCTTGTCTGATGCACTCAACCAAGCGTGCCTCACCCCCTCCCCACCCCCAAACATTTCGAATTTCCGTAGGTGGGATTTATTTGAATGATATTCTAATGGGTCGCTTTGTGACATCACAAAAACCCAGGAAAACAATGCTGTAGTCCAAACGAGCCGTTCTGTAGTTCTTGAAAAGGGATTTTTTTTTTTTAAACGAAATATCTCCCTTTGGAGTGGACTTTGAGATATGTAACTTTGTAGATCTTTTTTTTATGCCCAAACATACACACTACACACGGACTAAAATTCAAAAAGTGAAAAAGCATAATACGACCCCTTTAAGTAAAACTATAAAAAAAAAGGAAATAAAATAATAAAATGCTAGAAAAGCACATAAAAATGTTTAAATAAAGCTAAAAAAAAAAAAAAGAAGCTATTAATAAATAATATAATGATATATAAATAATTCTAAAATAAGACCGCTTTGGATCAGGAAATGGGTCCATATTAGACTGGTAAAGGGGTAATTGTGTCCTAGCTGGCTAAATTACATAACATATGGTTTCTAAGAATTTAATGTTTTATCTCTGATCGTTGGAGTGTATTTAAAAGATTATTTTTATGCATGATGCAAGATAAATCGGTACCATGTCAGTGGATATTACTTCTTTTATTTTATTGGAATTGGTCAAAACTGAGCATATCATCCAATATTGAATAATTAATTATTTTCTGAATATTTAATTCCCTTTACCATCATCTAACGCACCGTTCTCAAAATCAATATCCATTTTCATACTGTACTTTATAATGTTGTGAAGGCTAATTTCACTTTAGCATTTATACCGATTAATTTAATTTTTTAATTTTTTCAGATTTTAACTAAAATGTATTATTTCTAAATTATTAGTAGTAGTATTATCAGTAATAATAAAATAATATTATTATTATTTACTTATTTGTACATTTATTTAGACAAAATTTTATTTTAATGTTGGCCATTATGTTTATTGATTATAACATGACAATGGCAGGCTTATTGAATTGACTAGAACCTTAATATATATATATTTTTTTTCTTGGATAGATTCTTTGAGCCCAGCAGTATCGTGCCTGCCAGTAAGAGCACCTCATCATACACCTCAACTATATCTGTGAGTACAGCGAATGTTAAAACTCCTACACCAGAAAGCACAGCACCTAGAGTCACTGCAGGAGCCGCAGCTGGTAAAGGTAGAGTCCTGCTGCGGGTGGGAGACTGGACAAAAACACAGGACACAGAAAAAGAGAAGGAGAATGAAAAGGAGAAAGCCAAAGCTGTGATCGGCAAGATGGTGACAGTGGAAAACAATAACAACAACTCGTATCTGAGTCAAGCTGGGCTGAAAGCAAACAACAGGTGAGCTACAGTCACCTACTCAGAGTTGGCATATATTTTATGACTTGTTTTCACAGGGTGGTGGTGTACAAGGGTCATAAATGAAACAGAATTATAGCCTTTATGTAATCAAGCATGTCGATGATTGTTTAAATTCATGTTTTGTTGACATGTTTGTGTAAAAAGGCACATCCATCATTAACACAATCTCTTCTCACTTTGGTTTCTATAGTAATGTTTCCCCTGTGGAATCGGGTGCTAAAGGCCACTCAGGTAAGGTGTGTCTCAAAGCACCGGATACCAGCGTGGAACCTACTGCCCCGGCTGCTGCAGCGTCGTCCTTGATCAAAGATAAAACCTTAAATAAAACCTCCAGGCCTGCGAGCACGCTGTCGTCCAACAGCAAGGGTGAGGAAGACACACCTGATGCACTGATAACATACAGAACTTGATCTTATTAGTTGTTTTGCTTGATGGATTTTTCTCTGCCTAGTTTTCACAATTTTTCATGCGTTTAATATCAAGCAGCATTTGTTGGTCCTTGAATTCTGGTTAAAAAAAAATGGTGGCATGTGGTGGATTTCTGAATTCACATTTACATTTTTTACATGTCAATTCATTTCACTTCTCCATTTGAGGTTTATGATGATAATTTTTTTTCGAGGTTTATGATAATGTTACATTTATCTGGAAATGCAAAGCACCAATATGTTATTCACCAATATTTTTGTACGTTTATATTTACATTCTTTTTGCATTTCCAAAAAAGCATTTTTGCATACATATACCTAACCTACCTCTAAAATCAAAGTGAAATTATAACTTAAGACTGTTGTTCAATTTGCGGGTCAAGAAAAAAAAATCCTCTTATCATCAGTGTTGATACAGTTGTGCTGCTTAATATTTTGTGCAAACTGTAATTTATTTATTTTTTTCAGGATTTTGTTGAATAGAATTTTGTTTGTTTGTTTTTGTTTTGTTTTATTTGTAATAGAAATGTGATTATGTGCATCCTTGCTAAATAAAAGATCTTACTTGTGCCAAATTTTAGAATATTAGTGTAGTTGTAAGCCAAAATTCTGATTTAATTTATTAATAAACATTTTATTGTAAGACAACAAGGAAGTTGATTTAGGAACATTTTCTTCCTAAATCACATTAAACCAAGTATAATAACGATGATCAAATTTCTTCTCATTTTTAAAATGTCTGCTATGTCCATTTCTAAATGAAAACCTTTTGATGTAATTTCAGAAAATGATACAGCTCCATCTGATTGGAGGTCCATGCTCAAGCCTGTAAAGTAAGTTGTGCTTGTTTCTCTCTAAATGAAACATGCTTTTGATCTTTAGTGTCTTGTTCTTTAATATTTGTTAATCAGACAGATGAGTAATTTTGTTCTTTCTCAGTAAAATCATTTAATAACATCTTCTCTATATGATTTCCCTAACCAAATCATCCTGCTCTTCATTGATTAACTGGTTCATTCTCCAGACATTCTGTCCCTCCCATTCCTTCACGCTCTCTTGTGATTGGTTCTCTTGATGGGCGTGTAAACCAGCTGCGCCCAATAAGACCAGCAGTGGGTCGTATTTGAAAGTCCCCAGAGCGCTAGAGCTCAGTGCACAAGCACTTCCCCCATGAAGATCTTTCACCTGTAACTGCCCCTTTAACATGCCTCACCCTCCTAAACTTTCACCTGTCAGAGGTGAGAGAAGCCATGCTGAACATTTAGTTGCTCAGAAACAAAACCGAAAAGTTTAATATCTTCTCATCTCTTTTCATTTTTATAGAACTGTCGGTTCCACAGAAAACACTAGCTCACCCTCCAAGAAGCCAGAAGCAGCTTCCTCTCCACAGACATCGGGTCCGGGAATCTCCCAGACATCTGTTCCTGCACCATCTACCACAAACATCTCCATTAGCATCAACTCACCCAAAGCTCCCTCACTTAGCCCGATGAAAAACAGGCCTAAATCTAGCGGTAAGATCTTAGGAAAATGTGTAGAAATAGCCTTGTTGTTAAATAATCTTTTATTTAACATAAGAACAAATACGTCTTTTCAAAAAGAAGGAAGGAAGGAAGGAGGTGATGTGCCTAAAACAAGTTGTAAATGGGAAACAGAATAATACGTTTAAATTTATGCTAAAATACTTTGTCAAAATTAAATACGCTAAAGATATTTTCTCTGAAAACCAATGTTCTATTAATGAATATACTATTATAATATTTTGAATGAAGTGAAAATATAAGAACATAAGCTTGTGCTTATGTGCTTTTGTCATTAGTATTTTTTTATTTTATTTTATTTTTTCAGTTTTAGTCATTTTAGCGCTTCAACAAACTTATTTTAGTCAAGGCAGGATTTATGATTTTTGTGAAAGTTTCAGCTTCAAGTTTGTTTTTCGTCTAATGTTATATTTCATTTCAGCTTTTTTACTTACCGAAAAACGATTTTTAATACTTTTAGTTAACAATAACAGCAACCACAACACACCTAAAAACTAGTACAATTTTGTTTCTTTGATATCTTGTTTTAATGATGTTAAAATGTTGTTATTATTACTGTGAAACAAGATCAAGATACTGATTTTCTTTTTGCAGTGTATTACCATTTTCACACATCAGGTTATGAACCTAGTCCTTCAGTGTCACAAATACATGATTTTTTTTTTTCTTCATGGTACCATGTCCAAAAACTATGGTAATGAGGTTATACTTTCTGTAAGGGTCCCAGGTACAGCCAAACATGCATTATATATTAACATGACCAATACAATTAATTGCATTTAAATTAATAAAGGAGTACTGCATGCAGTACATTTGTTTCTCTGTTCATCTGTATGTTTGCATCTCTGTCTGTCTTCCAGACTCCAGCAGTGGCAGCATCGTATCTCCTGTTAGTTCCTCAGAGACTGAAACTCACAAATTGCACAAGGTGTGTGTCAAAACAATAATTACATGTGTTATCTGGTCTTCTGCATTTCTGTCTGCACTGATGTGTGTGAGTGTTGAGGGAATACTTTGTCAAGGGGCCTATTTAGACTGTTTTGGAGAGTCAAAAGGACCTTTGGGGCACTGTTATCTCTGAATCAGAAATAAAGTGACTTCATAGTAAGCCCAGATTTTTTAACAGTCTTTTCACTCCTCTGATAGACTAGAAAAGCATTTAAAGGAATAAATAAACCATTGAGGATCTGTGCAAAGTCGTTTGTGCAGAAAGTTCATGTTTGACGTATTGTGTGTCTGTTTGCTTTAGCCGGATTACATTCCTAAGGAAGACATTCAAAAAGAACTGAAGGAAATCGAGATGAATATGAACGAGTTGGAGAAAAGAGGAGTAGAGCTGGAAAAACAACTCCGACAATGTGATGAGGGTCTGTACACACACACTCTTAAAAATGGCTCTTTTACAAATAAGGAAAGAATGAATAGCCTTGTCAGATCCACTTCTCAGATAATCACATTATAAAGGAAGAATTATTTTACTGTGCCCATTTATCTTGCAAAACAAATGGATACATATTATGAATTGTAAAATTTAGCAACTTTCAATTAAAAAAATAAATAAAAAATATATATATATACACAGTGGGGCAAAAAAAGTATTTAGTCAGCCACCAATTGTGCAAGTTCTCCCACTTAAAAAGATGAGAGAGGCCTGTAATTTTCATCATAGGTATACCTCAACTATGAGAGACAAAATGAGAAAATAATAAATTCAGAATTAGAGGATGTTTGTTTAAGACTGTATTAGTGGTTTAAAATGATTTAAACATGCTTATTAAAAAATAAGCATTCAAAGTCTAGATGATGTCCTCTGGTGCTCCAGCAGGTGGAGACAAATATTACAAATGTGGATTCTCAAAACTTAGCATCACATATTAGCCTAAACAAATGCAATTGTGTTTAAAGGAATCTTGCATTTTTTGTTTTTTCTTCAGAAGGAGAAGAGGACACATTAATGAACGACTTAATGGTGGACTGGTTTACCCTCATCAGAAACAAACAGGTCTACATGAGACGAGAATCCGAGCTTGTGTACATGTATGTGTAAACTGTTGACTTACTGGAATGCTGATAGAGAATATCTTCCATTTCTAAATGTGCATTAAATAACATAAATGATCTGTGATTGGGTTCTGATAGTGCCAAGACACAGGATCTAGAGGAAGAGCAGCCCAGTGTTGAGGCCGAACTCAGGAAACTGATGGACAAGCCAGGTTTGTCCGACACTGGAAAAAGTCAAGCATCATTTGTTTGCAGATGCCACTTGATCAAACACTTTGTTTGTGTAGTGCAATGGCATTCATACTTTTTGGGGTTACTGTATCACTGGATGATGATGAAGCTTTGTGTAGACAGTTGTAAACTGATTGTATGATTTGGTTAATTTAAAAGATCTACTTTTGTTTAAAAGCTTCATATCACTTTTGTGTAATCTACTCTAGCTATTAAATTATGTTTATATCGTGTAGCGCATCTGAAGACATCTTGGGATCATAAACGAGAGGAAGAGCTGATGGCCAAACTTGTGGGGATTGTGAACGACAGGAACGCTATAGTGGAGGGGCTGGATGAAGACAGACTGAGGTGTGCAACGCATATCATATCCTACCGTCCTTGCCCAAACATCCTTGGTTACATCAGCAGAAGAGAGAATTTACTACATTTTGATGAAAAAAATTATTATTTTATTTTAAATGCACAATATGACTAGGTACATTCATTAAAGTAAATAGGCTATTTATTTATCTTATTTATTTTTATGTATTTAGAATAATATGCACTATATAACTAGGAGTATTTATTTATTCTGTATTTTGTATTTTATATTTATATATCTGTATTTTATTTTTATTTATTTTTTTGCTTAAAACATTCCAATCATTCTTTTTTTCTTCTTCTTTTTTTCAGAGTGCTATTGAATACCTAAACTTACTTAATGTGACATTTGTGAATCTTTTTACGCTTTTATCTACAGGGAGGACGAGGAGGATGAGCAGCTGAATAAGATGATGCAGAATCTTGGTAAGTATGATTATTTATGTATTGTGTAGCATTAAAACCTGAGATTAAAAATAAATGTTCCCATAAGCTTTTGAAAAAGGTAGAGGAAAATGTGCAAAAGAAATATTAAACCTTTAAAAATAAATCATATTTTAATGAATTTAACATTTTTAAGGTTTCTCAAAAGCATGACAGTTTCTTATTTTACAACAAATTACATTTCTCTAGCTAGAAACTGATTACTCTGCACCAGCTGGCTCTGATTTTAAAGAGGCAGAAATTTGCAGCCAACTCTATTTATTATGGTCCATTGGATGTCTGTTGGATGATTCAAAAATGAACATCCCTTCCTGTTTGCAAATAATAAGAGGCTGGCAGTGAAGAGACAATTGTTTATTGTCACCATTTGTTCGCTGATGGCAGAGAGAATTATTTTTGGTAATGTTTAGTGTCTGTTTCTAGTCAACATAATAATATAAACTGATATATTTAGTTTAGTATGGTAAAGCTGGTTGCACATGAGATTTCTACTCAAGGCCAACATTGTAATTAAGGCACTGCAATCAACTGTGCTAAATACAGAAAACTGAAAAGTTTTGAATTAATTGCACAATATTGTTTGCACTTTCAACTAAGCAGTTCAGAGGTTGGGCAGTTTAGTTTTTTTTCACATTTCTATCTCTGATGTTAAAACTAAAGTTTTCTTTTTGGAATAACTACCACCTGTGCTACTCTCCACCCACCGACTCAAAGTGCTATGAATCTTTGGCGTAATTGCTCAGTGCATGTTTATACAGTATATTCCACGATTTGAAAGGCCAAACAGGAAAAGTAATGCAACCCATTTTGATTTAATGATCACTAATGGAAACCATAGGTATCTAGCCTTGGCTAATGATCTGTCTGCATTTTCAAAGCTAAAATGACTTATAATAAAATGTATAATTTACTAACCCAATTAAACCAATGCATAAATGTGGGCAAAAGTCATAACCATTTGTAATTCATGACATAAAAACGGCCGGATAGCCCTGGAAGCTGTTACTGATGTTCTGTGGTCACCATTAGTAAATGACCTCTTGGTTTCTCTTGAAATGAACTTTATGTGCCTGGCAGTTAAGTGTGGGTTATGCTTTACCATTTGCAGATATGAAGAAGGAAAAAGTCAAGAGAAAATCCATATCCCGGTGGTTTAGTCTGAAAAGTAAACGGGCGTCCACAGAGGACTGATCCTCATGAAAGGGTGTGTTTGTGTTTTGTCCCAGACCGAATGTTTAAACTGCAGTTTGAGGTCAGATCACTAAATCTTAATTGCAGTTACACAGCCTTCAACAAATGATATTTTTGTGAAATCACATCATTATACATTTTCCCACTTTTTTTTTTTTCCCACATACTTTTGCACTTTTTTTTTTATCTGTCTCCTGTCATTGTGGGTGTGATTTGTGCATTTGTTAACAAACGTTTTGCACTTGAATCCTTTGTATAATGTTGACTGTATCTCTCAGTCAGTGTTTCATTAGGGAATTGGACAGTTTTGAGAGAAATGAGGTCATACTTTAAGTCATACTGATTCATATTGGATCAAAGTTAAAAATGGACGGGTTAAGTTCTGACTCAAACTGAATTCACTTTCTTACACTTGACTTTTTACAATGTATTTTAAATTGAGAATATCACAAATTTTTGCTGGAAACTATCCTGTTTAATCATTTTAATGGTGTTTTACCCTGGCACATTTCTACTGTCTCAACAGCAGGGGGCAGACAGTGACTGATTTCTGCCATAGGACACTGTATGCCCAAATGATTTTTCAACAACCTGTGAGAGAACTGATTTAATAGGGTCTTTTTAAGACAATATTTAGGATTCATCATTTAAGAGCTTATGTTGTTTCATTGATCACTAGGATCATGCTTCTAACCACTGTCCAGGTAGCTTTTTATTGATTGTATTTATTTTTCTGGGTTTTCCATAAATATGAATTTTCTTCATATTATCTGCACTTTTAGTTTGAAATGTTCTTGCTCTCTTTTCCCTTTACACCACCTTAAACGTGTGTAACAAACTGTTTAGCTGTTTGTACCAAAGTAGTAGCGGTTTGTAATTTAAGCAAAAAGGTCTCTATTTTTTTTACCCAGTGCCCAGCATTTAATTTCAAACCTTTATATTGTGTACAATAAATTTTAAACGTCAACATGAATGCCTTATTTTTCTTTTTAGTCCATCTGCAGTTATTAAATATGATTACATCTTCTAGTTGCTTTTTCTCTTCCATTAGCAAAGCATACATTTGTTTGCATACTTTTTTCACCAGAATTGCTGTGTAAGCACTACAAATTACTGTAATGAATGCAAAAAAAATTAGCTTTAACTTGGAAATTTAGATGTGCTAAAATGCCGCCTTTTATTCTTTTCATTTAATTGTAAAATGCATTTTAATGGTAATTCTCAGTATCATATTTTTTTTCTATATAAAACAGTTTTATGCACTATGCATGCAGTTTTTTTTTTTAATTCTCGAAGTCGCAAAACATTTTTCTGATCAAAAAATACAGTATTATTGTGAAATACAATTATAATTTAAAATTACTATTTTAAAATGTAATTTATTCACATGGTAAAGCTGAATTTTCAGCATCATTACTCCAGTCTTCAGTGTCGCATGATATTTTAGAAATCATGTTAATATGCAGATTTGCTGCTCAAAAACATTATAAATTTTGAAAACAGTGGTACTGCTTAATATTTTTGCAGAAACCTACTTTTTTCTGGATTCTTTGATGAATATGAAGTTCAAAAGAACAGCATTTGTTTGATTTTATTTATTATTATTATTATTACATTTTTTGTAACAACATAAGTCTTTACTTTTGATCAATATAATGCAATAGTTATTTTACTTTAGGTAAAATAACATAATTTATAGCGGTTTATGTCTCATGTGTCGATGACCCAACTATATTGACACTTAGACGTTTTAAAATGCCTGTACAACTGAAAGTAAACGCTCTTGGAAAACACGCAGTGCAGAATCTTATAATAAACTGAATGCTTGGACTTCTTTTGGGGATTCCCTATGAAACGGACTAGGTACACACTGTGTCTGTGTACACGCTTACCTGACCAAGATTCATCTTAATAATGTATGTTTGCGTTTGTGTCTTGTGCATGTGTTTGTGGGCTTCTAATGCATACAAATGTATTCCGGTTCTGTATCTGTTCGGCTTTGTCGTTCAGTGAACAAATCTGCTGGGACAGCATGTGAGACCACAAGAATAGGAATGCTCACATATGCTAATGTATGTGTTGACTCTGTCAGCACTGATATGGCGAGTGGATTACCTGTGTTTCCTTCCATCTGATCCACTGAAAGTGTACAGCCGAGGACACCCCATTGAGCTTTACATGAGCCGCTGCTTTTGATATGCATTTATGCTAAGAGTGTTTTTTGCTGCTGCTTGAATCGAGTGATGAATATAAGTTTGCTCAAGTGATCCAGTATAGTTTAAGGCCCGTTTACACCAATGACTGTAATTAATTTTTTTTTAAATATTTTTTCTAATTATGCAAGAATAGAGATATCCATTATGATGCAGAGGTAAAATATTGTTGGAATACAGAACGGTTTGTTTTCCAACTGATGAACAAAGACACTGACGGCCAATCGGCATCCATTTTGCCTTAAAGGGATAGTTCGCCCAAAAATGGAAATTCTGTTATTGAAGGGGTCATATGATGCGATTTCAATTTTTCCTTTCTCTTTGGAGTGTTACAAGCTCTTGGTGCATAAAGAAGATCTGTAAAGTAGCAAAGACTAAAGTCTCAAATCCAAAGAGATATTCTTTATAAAAGTTAAGACTTGTCCACGCCTACCTAAAATTCCTCATTTAAACACGCCCCCACATGTCTACATCACTGTGTGGGAAGATTTGCATAATGCCGCCCAAATGTTCATGCAAAGAAAGAAGGCGTAACTTTTATTCTCGCTGTAGTATTGTAGCCACGACCACCATGTTGTGGAGATGCTGTGCGTTTCATGGTGAAAGCGAAACTACTTTGTTTGGCCTTCCAAAAGAGGACGATATCCGCTTCGTCATATCTAGAGCTGATCTGTGCTGGTCGCTGAGGGAATACATCAACTTCGCGCTGTGGATCGCCGGATCGGCTTTCACCGTGGACGAAGTCGTCGCACCAGGATCGTCACATGTGGTTGCCGCAAACCTCCTTCGTCAAATCTGCCGGGCGCCGCTCACTCAAGCCGCTGTGTGTTTCATTGTGAAAGCGAAACTACTTTGTTTGGCCTTCCAAAATAAGACATAATGTTTATATAAAGTGGGGCAGTTCCAACTTTGCAAGTACAGTCTGGCGCTTCTGACTCACAGCCTGTAAGTACGTTCTTTATATTTAAAGAATTTGCCACTGACGATTCAAACGCGAGTTTGAGCAGTGTAGAGTAGCGTTTGTTGTTTGTCATTTCTCCGATCACAAATGCAGACATGGTTTTATGTTTACGCGGCGCAATAAGCAACACAAAGCGTAAGAACACAGTGTAAGTCATTATAATCAGTAATTATGTCCCCACTGGATGCAACAAATGCCTCGTTTGTAATGGGTTTTATTGGTTTTGTCTCATTGTATAGAAACACAGTATGGTAGGGGCGTAACATTTCCGTCACACGCTTGAGGTATTCAGCCAATCACAACGCACTGGATAGCTGGCCAATCAGAGCACACCTTGCTTTTCAGAACGATGAGCTTTGTAAAAATCGACGCATTTCAGAAAGGCGGGGCATAGAGGAGAAACAATAATGTACAGTATGAGGAAAATGTGTTTTTTGAACCTTAAACCGCATAAACACATTGCATTACACCAAATACACAAAATGATGTTCTTTTTAGCAACATCATATGACCCCTTTAATTACTCACCCTCATGTCGTTCCAAAATCGTAAGACCTTCGTTCATCTTCAGAACACAAATTAAGATATTTTTGATGAATTCCGAGAGCTCTCTGACCCTCCATAGAAAGCAAGGGTACTACCACAATCATAGCACAGAAACGTAGTAAGGACAACATTAAAATAGTCCATGTGACATCAGTGGATCAACTGTGATTTTATGAAGCTACTAGAATACTTTTTGTGCACAAAGAAAACAAAAAGAATGCCTTTATTCAACAATTCTTCTCCACGTCACCCTACAGCCATTTTGGAGCGTACCACAACACATGCAAACAAGGTGCAGCGCATGCGTGTTCTACGTCAGCAGCATCACATGCATGTGTTGTTTACATTCAGGAAAAGCATGCACATGCTTTGTGATAGCACCTAAAATGGTGCTATATAGGGTGACGCGGAGGAGAAGAACTGTTGAATAAAGTTGTTCTTTTTGTTTTCTTCGTGCAAAAAAGTATTCTCGTAGCTTCATAGAATTACGATTGACCCACTGATGTCACATGGACTATTTTAACGATGTCCTTACTACGTTTCTGTGCCTTGATCGTGATAGTACCCTTGCTGTCTATGGAGGGTCAGAGAGCTTTCAGATTTCATAAAAAAAATTCTTAATTTGTGTTCCGAAGACGAACCGAGGTCTTACGGGTTTGGAACGACATGAGGGTGAGTAATTAATGACAGAATTTTCGTTTTTGGGAGAGCTATCCCTTTAATGAGCTAGACCATTTAAAGTGTCAGAAGACAAAACTGCAGCACGTGCTTATAGAAACAGAACGTTATTCTCTGCTGGTGTGGATGCTAATATTATAATTTTATATTATGGCTAATATCATGGATTTAAAAATGAAATGAACTAAAAATGAAAATTCTGTCATCATTTACTCACTCTTATGTCGTTCCAAACCTGTATGGGTATTGTTTCTCTGTGAAACACAAAAGAAGACATTTAGCAGAATGTCCATGCTGCTATTTTTCCACATAGTGAAAGTAAATGATGAACAGGGGTTCTCAAGGTCCAAAAAGATTAAATGAACATTACATTTTTGAAAGCTTTGAGCTTTTAGAGCTGCGACAGAGTGGAACATTTTTAGTTTATTCACTTTTTTGTTTTTTTGTTTTCTTTCTTCTTCTTCAGAGCTTGAAAGTCCTTGGTCACTATTCACTTTCATTGTAAGGTAAAGATCTTCTGTATTCCAGGAAAATCACGTGATTTGTGAGAGAAAGGAGTGTATGATAATATGATTTATTGAAGGTTAAAAGGTTTTACTGTCTTATTGTGGCTTGTAATTTTATAATTTTATAAATATTGGAGGTTATATTTGTGAAAGACATTTTCTCTGCAGGTGCTTAATTTCAAAAACGCCGAATGAATATATGAATATGTTTTCTTTCAGTCGGTTCACTGTGTTGCGCATGCAATTTATCGTCATAAATGCCCTAGGTTAAATGAATTTAAGCACACACACATATGCACGTAAGGCAGAATATAAGCCCTGCATTGTGTGTGGGGAGATTTCTGGGAAAGACATTAGAGATGGAAAAGCTATCTACACTGACCTGGAGAGATAGCCCGTGTCAGACTTAGCCACCATGTGCTGAGCTTTGCACAAATACAAACACACACACACGCAGAGAGAGCTTCATGAGTGCACACACACGTATTTGAGCCTGGTTTGAGATCAAAACTAATTACACAAATACGCATATTGTATTTGATGGCTCAATAAAACATAAATGCCCATGAAGTGTCATGAGGATACGTTAAAGATAGTTCCCTATTTGATGTGAATATTAAGTTTTTCAATTTGCAAAAAAATAAAGTTTTTAAGATTACAGAGACAGAAATAAGGGAAATGACAGTTCATTAGGGTTAACTGATGTTTTCCATAGCTTAAATTTAGCATTACATCACTTGCTAACCAATGGATCCTTTGCA